CCCTCAGAATGCACGTCAACATTTGACTTGGATGCTTTACTGACATAACCAGAAATTCTAAAAATTCACTGTTTATCCCTGACCTATCCTCATTATGCACGTCAATCTTTGACTTGGATGCTTTACTGACATAATGAAAAGTTCTAAAAATTCATTGTTCATCCCTGACCTATCCTCAGAATGCACGACAACATTTAACTTGAATGCTCTACTGAAAACCAGAAATTCTAAAAATTCTCTGTTCATCCCTGACCTATCCTCATTATGCACGTCAACCTTTGACTTGGATGCTTTATCGACATAACCAGAAATTCTAAAAAAGTGTTCCCATAAAAATCTCGTAATTTCATGAAGCAATGTGAACCGAAACGTCTTACTTGCACTTTTCTCAGAAAATCGCGTTCTTTTCAGAGAGGACACTTTGTAAACTAGGGAAATTCTGTTGAGAAAAATTGCTTTGTCATTTTTTGTTTCCAGGGATCGGTGATTTAGGGAAGGGTTAAATATCGGCAAGATTCAGGGGGACCGTCAAAAAGTCGTCTCGGTTTTACGCCCGCGAATGTAAATTGCTGCTTACGGGTTAAAACGACGTTGTACAAAGTGTCACCCAACACCGACACGCCGTCGAGGAAGTTTCGATGCATTTTGCGATGCAGAGCCTGCCATGTCGTCGGAGTTTTATACGCGGACTGGTTATGCTTGTTTGCTGATATACCTATCCCCTAACTTCCCAAAGCCGTGGCTAAATCATGCACAAGCGACTGCCCTGCGATAAACACGAATTTCACATTTGTCAGGAACTCGAGATTTCGAAAGTTTCCCCCCCACGTAAAGTGCATCGCTGCATAAGATGCATTAAGTTCCGGCTGGGATAAGAAATTCAGGTTTTCCCCGCGTTTCTTAAATACAAAGAATGCCAAACGATAAATAAAATGGATAAATATCGAATTCCTCATATCTTGGGAGATAAGCAAAAATCATTCCTTGGACTTTCATGAACGGAGGAAATAAATGACAAAGGAAAGGATAAATCTGGAATTTTCATTTTCATTCATTCCGGGTTTACATTGGATGTTTTTGTTTTTTTATATGTAAAATGAGATGAAGTATTACGATTGCAGGGGGAGAAGAAAAGCGATGAATTAAGGCGGGGGATAAACGATTGGACCCGCTATCGGGCGTAATGAGGGAAAAAGAGTCGACGGCACACCTCGGAGTCGTAAACGCGGAATCGTCGTCTGTTGGGGATGTCAGGGAGGATTTTTCCCCCGGGAAACGAGGACGGCTGTAAACCGCGACAGTTTCCCTAGATGAGTGGCTCTCAAATGACCCTTCCTATCGGAAACCTTTGAAACGCTTTCGATTCCCCGAGGTTCCGGGTATCAAAGCGATACTCGAATTTCTCGGGCTCGTGGCCTCGGAAACGGCAGTCTTGTGGCCGGAGTAAATACCTCGCGGGGGTGCGGAGGAAATAGCGAGCATTTCGGCGTCAGAGGACGGAAATTTTCCGCCCCGGAACAAGGGAGGAACTCGGCTCGATGAGTAGTAAAACGCGGCGGCGCGTCCGGCACGTCCGACCCGAGGCGGTGCTCCACTACTTGGACCTCTCCTCCTGGAGATCCCGATTGTTTTTCAAACCTCATTTTCCCATGATAATAATCCCCGATACCATACATGCAAGTGACCCAGCCCCTTTGCCATTTCAAAATTTACCGCGTAATTTTTCTCCCCCGTTTTTACGCTTTTCTTTCAATTTTTCTAACAAGGAAGGTACCTGAGGTGTCCCCCCCCGATTTTGTTCATTTTTAAATATGTTATAGAGGACTGAAATCTAAGGGACCCGTGTTTTTTTTTATCGGCGGATAAACACTTTTAGAGGGTAAAATCAGGCTTCAAAGTTGGTCGTGCAAGGGGGTGAGTTGGCTGTTTCATATAAAAGCACTCGACCGATTTTCATGAAATAACCGTCAAAATGTAGGGAATGAAGAATTATGAAGCATGCATTTGGAATTTTTCGAAAACATTCATTTTTAAGGGGTGAGCCACCCCTTTGAATACTTCCTTTACCCCTTAAGCGAGCAGTAATTATTCTATCTAATTGAAACTTTTTTTGTAGTGTTCTGGTCTATAAATTAACCAAGTTTCATTTGGATAGAGCAATTACTGCTCGCGTAAGGGGTAAAAGAAGTATTCAAAAGGGTGGCTCATCCCTTAAAAATGAATATTTTCGAAAAATTCCAAATGCATGTTTCATAATTCTTCATTCCCTACATTTTGACGGTTGTTTCATGAAAATCGGTCGAGTGCTTCTATATGAAACAGACAACTCACCCCCTTGCACGGCCAATCTTGAAGCCTGATTTCACCCCCTAAAAGTGTTTATCCGCTGATAAAAAAAACACGGGTCCCTTAGATTTTACTCCTCTATAACATATTTAAAAATGAACAAAATCGGAGGGGGACACCTCAGGTACCTTCCTTGTAAGTACCTTCCCTGGCACTGAAGCTGCTTCAATGACAAGCGGGTCTTAAAACCTCATTTTCCCATGATAATAATCGTCGATACCATACATGCAAGTGACCCAGTCCCTTTGCCATTTCAAAATTTACTGGGTAATTTTTCTCCCCCGTTTTTACGCTTTTCTTTCAATTTTTCTAAGTACCTTCCCTGGCATTGGAGCTGCTTCAATGACAAGCGGGTCTTGAAACCTCATTTTCCCATGATAATAATCCCCGATACCATACATGCAAGTGACCCAGTCCCTTTGCCATTTCAAATTTACCGCGTAATTTTTTTCGCATGCATCTCTTTTATATTCCTATTTCAGCTCATCAACGTACCTTCGATTTTTCATGAGCATTGTTATAAAAATAAATGTAAGAGCGGAGCGAACATCTCTGAATGAAATTCTCCGAAATTAAATCGTTAACGGAAGAAAATGTGTATAATTGAGAGGATAGAGGGAAGAAATTAAATTTCATCGCGCAGCGCGTTTAATCGATCTACACTTGCGCCTTATCTTCGGGATGGCACCGAACGTGCTGAGGAATATGAACACGCGAACGGCGAGCATAAAAACCGGGGGGCATCTCTTCGGTAAAGAAGGATCGTGAGGATTCCACCAGGAGGGGAGATTTTCCACCGAGGAACGAAATTCATGCGCGGACGTTGCGAGTAGTAAAACGGAACGACGTCACGTCCGACCCGCCCTCGTTTCAGTTCGGGTTTCGCGGACCGATCTCGCTAATGGTCAGATTTCTTCGTACAAATCCAATCGAGTTTATCGGCTCTTCGGGAAATTGGTCGCCGTTCGGGAATACTTATTCCCAAAAAAATCGTACTTAGGTATTTACCCAAATGGAAAAGCAATAAAGCGTATAAATATTGCTCGTACAACGAATTCGAATAACTACCGAATAAAGTTTCTGAACATTTTGGAAAGTTATACCGATATGCATATTTGAACATTTAACAGTTTTAAGGTGAAGTGAAACACGTCGAGGAACTTGATCAACGTCGATAAAGGAGATTTTTATAAATGCCTACGTTGCCGACGTTCGATTTTATATTGACAGCTGGGTCGAATTATATTGTGTATTGTACCAAATGGCATATTCCACCTGTCGTTTTCGTACAATAATTATAAAGAAATCGAAGTAAAACTCCAGAAATCCTCTGGATTCGTGGTTTCTGAGGCCCTAATTGACTGCGGAGGGACCCCCTGCGCCATCTATGATTTCCAGGTCAATTAAATTTTCACTCCGAGACCTCGTATTCCCATCGTTTTAGCATAGAAGCGCATACAACACTTTTTTAAATAATCAAAAATAGGTGAAAACTTATCAGCAAATTATGTGCTCTCGGAAAGTCATATATTCATAAATTAAAATCTCCACCCTTAAGTTTGAAAATCCACCCCCATTCAAATATCCACCCGATGGCGCGGAAAAAGTTCAAACAATTTACGCTTAAATTACTTCTAGAATTATGTGAAAGGCGCTAAGAGATTTAATCGACGTCGATAAAATAAAATTCATCGATGCCCTTTTTTCGGGGTAATACCGAATCCTCCAAGAGGCGATACGTTATATTAATTAAAACCCTCGGCGTATTCGCGTTAAGGAGAAATCTGGTACAACTCGGAATAACTTAGTTACTTTCTGCTTTCTTACTCGGTACACTTCCCTGATCGTACTTGATGCCGCTAACGCGAGTTCCGGTGAAGTTTATAAATACCGACTTCGGAGGTACTTCCTTTTCACTCGGTCGAGCTTAATTTCCGAATGATGAATTTTGCCCGGTAATTGTACTGCCTGTAATCATAGATAATATTTATTTTACGAGAGCCTTCTCTCCCCGGTTTATACTTCCACTTTTTAAAAGGCCTTCGAGAGAAAAATCAATTTCAACGAAGCCTGGAATTTTCTCCGTAATTACAAAAGCGGTATATGAATAATTTTTGTCGTTGATAACATTCACTTTACTGCAATTTAAACATGCGCTCGTGTTTGTAGAAGCTTTACTAAGACCACTTTCGTAATTACGGGCGTTATTAAGGGATGAAGAGCCCTTTAATTTCCTCTTTCTCCTGTGGTACTTCATTACCCAAATATTGCAATTATCTCGGCACGGTTTTTTCTTCCAATTTCAATATTTGAGGTTAAGAAATAAAATACCGTCGATAAGTGTACTTTAGTTCAACTTTTAATATCCACGTCAGGGCTCGGATACTTTTCGAAATTACCGTAACTCGGAAATTACTTCCCGATTTGAGGTCGATAATTAAAGAATGGAATCCATCGTTTGTTGGGTTTCCGGCGGGGTATTTTATTACCCAAATATCGCAATTAGCCGGGGAAGGCATCGACCAACATTTATTTTATTCAGGCGAGTCGAATTAATTGATTTTAATTAAAGCTTCCATGGGTGGTAGCAGTCGGTGCGACAATGATATGTTCCGAAATGGGCTCGGGGAAACACGAGTAAACAGAGTAGGTACACAAGTGTAATGGCCGTAGCTATCAAGTCGTGCCGCATCACCTGATACCTCCTCTATTTTGACTAAAACAGGACCAGCGTCGGATGACACACGAGAACAAAGGGAAAACCATCTATAGGGATGACAATAGTACACAAAAAAAATTACGAATAAAAATGAAAAAAAAAACTGACCCACAAAATACCGGGATGAAAAGTGCATGACGGCTTCGATCAAACTAAAAGACTCCACACATCACTATCCATGATTGTGCACCGAGAGCAAAATAAAAAACAATTGGTTGACTCGAAGAAACATGACAACAAATTCCTCCGAATGGATCTGAATTTTTTTTTTTCTCTACAAAATAATTCTTCCTCGCAATTATGTATGTATGATTCAAGTAACAATATTTGTTTCAGTGAACTTATGCTCTTTATTAGGGTGAATTGTTCCGAACATTTGTTAGCCCATGATTTAACACTTATCGGGTGATTTTAGTAGAATATTCGGAGTCATTGTTAGTTATGAAATCTCCTCTATTATCATAAAACGGTAGAGAGGAGGTCCTGACACGGAGGCTGTAAAAAGGAAGAGCGAAGTAAGGAGCGATGAAAAAGTTTAAGGAACCCTGGGAGACGAGAGATAAGATGGTGGAAGATATGCGAACGCGCAAAGTGGAGCAAAGGATCCACCAAACTTCTCAGGAGCATTACTCGGCCGTGAGACAACGTGCAACGAGGATGCACTTTGGGGAGAAAGAAGAGAAAAAAAAAAAAAGAAAAGGTGGCGTCGCAGTAGAGTGGCAAATTAGTTGCCGCGAAAAATTCCGAAAACCGTTTTCGAGGTTCAGAACTTTCTAATTAACCCTCAGCTTCAATCGTAACCATGGGTTGAGAAAACAATGGTTTTGAAAACAGCGTGAAATGTTTTTGTTGCGAACAATTGCAGATGATGGGGATGATTTTAAATGAAAAAGGACTTACCCTCGTAGACCCAGTCTGGGACTCCATTGTAGATCGTGCCGAAGACCCCGGTGGTGGTGATCTGGTAATCCAGGGGAACTTCTGCTTCTGGTCGGTAAAAGATATTGTTCTGTTTGACGTAAACTAGAGCATTCCCCTTCGGAGCCCACACGGCGAGCTGAAGAGTGATCGTGTCATTTGGGATGAGGCTGAGCACTTCCCTGAAAAAATGATTTGAAAATTGGTACCACCTCCGTGAAATTATTCTTCATGGGTTTATTAATCATTTAATTGTTTCTAAAAAGGTATTGTTCTGTTTGACGGAAACTAGAGCATTCCCCTTCGGAGCCCACACGGAGAGCTGAAGAGTGATCGTGTCATTTGGGATGAGGCTGAGCACTTCCCTGGAAAAATGATTTCAAAATTGGTACCACCACTGTGAAATTATTCTTCGTGAACTTATTAATCATTTAATTGTTTCAAAAAAATATATTGTTCTGTTTGACGTAAACTAGAGCATTCCCCTTCGGAGCCCACACGGCGAGCTGAAGAGTGATCGTGGCATTTGGGATGAGGCTGAGCACTTCCCTGGAAAAATGATTTCCAAATTGGTACCACCTCCGTGAAATTATTCTTCATGAATTTATTAATTATTTAATCGTATGTGTCTCGCTCGTAATTCTTGGCACTTTTCCCGCGACGAATCACGACCCGTGAAGAGAGTTCGAAATTAAAATCGATTCATTCACTGCACTTTTGTTAATTTAAAAAAACGTTTCGATCGAGCGAACCAAATTTCACTTGCTTACTTAGATTAATTGAAATGTTTTCATGAAATCGCAATATAATTATCTTCTACGGTTCAGCAAAAATTATATTCACTCGAGCAAGTATTTCTTTTTTTTCTCCGCGTAGGGATAAAAAATGTTTATTCATGCAGTTTGGTAAAACAGGAGATGCACATCCGATGATCGTTACGCCAATCAAATATTTCGTGGTTTATGTAATATATTTATTTTTTAAATATGTTATAGAGGACTAAAATATAAGGGACCCGTGTTTTTTTTTATCGGCGGATAAACACATTTAAGGGGTGAAATCAGGCTTCAAANATGATCGTTACGCCAATCAAATATTTCGTGGTTTATGTAATATATTTATTTTTTAAATATGTTATAGAGGACTAAAATATAAGGGACCCGTGTTTTTTTTTTTATCGGCGGATAAACACATTTAAGGGGTGAAATCAGGCTTCAAAGTTGGTCCTGATATAGAAGCACTCGACCGATTTTCATGAAACAACCGTCAAAATGTAGGGAATGAAGAATTACGAAACATACATTTGGAATTTTTCGAAGAAATTCATTTTTAAGGGGTGAGCCACCCCTTTGAATGCTTCTTTTACCCCTTACGCGAGCAGTAATTGCTCTATCCAAATGAAACTTGGTTAATTCCTATACCAGAACAATACGAAAAAAGCATATTTTGGTTTTTTTTCGAGAAACGAATTCTAAGGGTTGTAACAACCCTTTAAGAAAATGATGTATAATCTCGTTTGAAAACCAGCTTTGTGCGACTTTCTTGGACTTAAAGGACTGGGGTTCCCGATAATCCTAAAAAATGGGCAGAAGAGGAGGCTCGACGGGAACTCATATCTGGCGGTGGTGCAGGGCCATTTCGTCTCAAAGGCAACTTCCCTCGAAAGCCATAAGTAAAGCCGATGGCATTCACGTGGCATACAAACCAGAGGGTCCGGTTTATGGCACGACTCACTTGCATCCCTTGCACACACGGAAGACGTAAACGGAACGTGGCCGGACCCGGACTCGGACACACCGACGAGACCAACACCATCGAAAATGGCCATAACACGGACACTGTCGGAAATAGGAAACTCAGGGAAGCTCTTCCAGACATTTTCGAATTTACTCGCGAGGTCGCGTTAGATAAGAACGACCCTCTATGAAATCGCGATTGCGATGATCGATTGGCCTCCGTGCCTTCCCTAAGCGATTTATCTTTAATTCATAGATTTCAAACAACTGAATACCACTTACGTAAAAAAGAAACTTCGTCACTGAAGAAAATTGGCCGCATTTATTTAATTTTCCGAAAATGTTTCGAGTGAGTCGAATTTTAGTTTACTTGACTAAGTTCATTTGCTTCCAACGAAAAATGGATTTTTTCTTTTTCCCTAAATCGTTTGGTAAATTTAGTTCGCGATTTATCTTTAATTCATAGATTTCAAACAACTGAATACCACTTACGTAAAAAAGAAACTTCGTCACTGAACAAAATTGGCCGCATTTAGTTAATTTTCCGAAAATGTTTCGAGTGAGTCGAATTTCAGTTTACTTGACTAAGTTCATTTGCTTCCAACGAAAAATGGATTTTTTTTTCCCCCTAAATCGTTTGGTAAATTTAGAAAATATAGTTTCGTTAAATGTGGGGAATTACTTTTAATTTTACGGGTAATTTTCATCGGAAAATTTTATAAAATCGAACGGAATAGGTTGGAGGAGAAGTAAAGTGGATGTGAAAAATTGTGCGGGGGTGAGAGGAAAGATTAAAAAAAGGGTGGATGAGCAGAAAAGGAAAGGTAGAAGAGGAAAGGGGGGAAGGGAAGGAAGGGAAGAAACGATCCAAAGTTGGAAAAGCGTTAATACGACGATACAGTTGTACGATTCATCTCCCGTTTCGTTATTAAAATTGCCAGCGCGCAGAATTCCAATTTCCCGATAAAGGTGCGCACACGGAATAACCGATCCAAGTTGCAGCATTTCAATTGCACCCGTTCCAAAATGCATCCGAAGGCTGCACTTTGATCCGTGAATTCGATCCGTAGGAAGATTCGGGTTGAAAAAGGAGATTAATCTCGAAATTTAGGAAATTCTCGTCACCTAGATATTTCCCTCTTATCATATCCGCTCCTTATTACTCATTACATGAATCGAAGATATGGGAATTTTTGAATTTCTCAAAATCCGACATTTCTATTCAGAATTATTGTCAATTCTTTGGCAATGATACCGTCTTATCATATATCCGTTATCGCTCTGAATGAATAAAAAATAAAAAAAAAAACACGGAATTTGAAAATTCCTCAGACTCCAACCCTTTTGTTTAAGATTAATTACCGTCAATTCTTTTGTTTTATATCCTTCATCCCTCCTGAAAATAATGTTAGAAAAAAGAAACAAGGAATTTTGGAATTTTCAGACGCGACGTTTCCATCCGGGATTTCGAGTTTTCGCGGATCCACCTCGTATCCTGGGATTCCGTATCCCGGGGTGTTTTATTATCGGAGACGTTCCTTCGGGATAACTTCGGGATACCTCCTCGTCCTAGAATCCTGCCGAGGCCTAGGATACACCCCGAAGAGGCTTCTTCGGGATCCTCGCCCCCTGTGTTTCGCATTGTTTCCCCAGGACTCCCCTCTCCCGTGGGAACCCGGTGTCTCGTTTGCGAGTAAAATATCCCCCCAGCAGGGACGGCGGCCGAAACGCAGCGGACCCTCCGCCTTCCCCTCTATTAGAATAAAAGAGGAATTCAAATACTTGTATAATCAACCTCATTGCTCCGACGTCTTATTTCCGCGCCCCGGGCTCTGTACTTTGCATACTGGGCCGAGGTACCGTCTTGGGGCGTTCCACCCCCTAATGAACCACCCCCGGATGGTCTATCGAGACCTCGTTTCGAGGGCGAATCTCCTATTCAGGAACCCATTGAAATTTTTTACGGCCTCCTGTATTTAAGACCTTATTTAAACATTCCCAAGGAAAATTACCGAGGGGACAGGTATTCACGAAGAGCGACATAACCTAGAGAAATTCTTACAAGATCGTAGGTAACGAGCCCGGGAAATTTTTTAATATTAAATCCAGAATGTACATATGCGAATGTAATTGTTCATGGGCCCTTGGTGAACATCCTGATTTATATATTAAAATATTGCACACGGTGGGGATGGATAGAAACTGTTGAAAAAAATTCTTCGAAAGCCTAGACATTAATAATGAAACATTAATTACTAAAAATCCCCACTTCCAATGAAGTTACAGTACCGAATGGAAGATCAAGAGGGAGGTAAAAAAAAAGTAGGGATTTTTTTCGAACTCGAACATTTGTCATCCCTTCTTTCTCCGAGTTTTGGCTTCGCTCGACAACCATTATTGGCCACTGTGGAGGGATAATTAAAATCCGTATGCAAAATAATTACAAAAAATCCCCACTTCCAATGAAGTTACAGTACCGAATGGAAGATCAAGAGGGAGGTAAAAAAAAAGTCGGGATTTTTGTCGAACTCGAACATTTGTCATCCCTTCTTTCTCCAAGTTTTGGCTTCGCTCGACAACCATTATTGGCCACAGTGGAGGGATAATTAAAATCTGTATGCAAAAGAATTACTAAAAATCCCCACTTCCAATGAAGTTACAGTACCGAATGGAAGATCAAGAGGGAGGTAAAAAAAAAGTCGGGATTTTTGTCGAACTCGAACATTTATCATCCCTTCTTTCTCCGAGTTTTGGCTTCGCTCGACAACCATTATTGGCCACAGTGGAGGGATAATTAGAAATCGAAAAGAGAGTTTTCCTGGCGCCCCCCAGCCTCGTTATCCCGAGGGATGAAGGAGGGGTGGAAGACCCTCTTACAAGGGGGTGAGAAAGAAAACTCCGGGAAACAGTAGGACGGAAACCGAGAGAACGGCAGGATGCGACGACCTCGAGGATCCTCGCACTTTCCATCCTCCCTCCACCCTTTTCCTTCGGAAAACGAGCAAACCGATTCTAAAGGCGAAGTCATTTCTTGCCTCGCCACCGGGATAAATGGATTCCACAACGGCGGGACTCCACTTTCCGGGAAACAATGACATTTCCCAACGTCGGTTTTGCGGTTTGTCGCGTAAACAAGGAGGGACGCATTTCGTCGGAATAAATCGCCGTCGCGTCGATGAGCGTCGAGGGAAAAATGGAAATAACGAAGGACACATTTTGGGATAAATAAATCCCCGGTGGGGAAACGCGGGAAATAATTTCATTTCAAGGATCGACATCCTTTAAAAGGGGGTAACATTATTGCCGTAGAAAGTAAAGGACATGCTTTCGGGAAATACATTTTCGATGGAGGATCCTGTAGACTGCGTTTCAATGAAATAACTGCATCGAGGGAAAAGGTAAAACAATGAAACTCCAAGGCTCGATTTTCCTTAAAACATGCAAGTTATTAGCGTAACAAAATAAACTACATATTTTTATAAAATAAAGGTTTGCATCGATAGGATGTCCCGGGGGAGAATGCAAAATAATGAAATTTCAAGGCTTGTTTTTCCTTAAACATGCAAAATTGGCAGCGTGAAAAATAAATTACATATTCCGATGAATTTAAGGTTTGCATCGATAGGAGATGCACTAAAGGAAAATGCAAAATAATGAAGTTTCAGGGCTGGACCTTCCTTCGGGGAGCGTTAAGTCTAGTTTACCGCGCTTAAGGGTAACTTCCTCGGCAATGAATCCTGGATCGCGTCGATAAGTTTAATCTCCCTTTAATCCCGTTCCCGAAGGACCCGCGACCGCCCTCGGGCATCCCCTAATCAGCTACAAAAGGAAATCCGGAAAAATCCCTGACGCTTTCCCCGCTGCATAATAATTGCGATTACCGCGAGAAAATCTCCAGGGAGGATTTCCTCCCTTAATTGCGAGCAATGTCCTTTGGGCTTCCACCCCGGAAAAGGGCCGCGGAATCCGATCGCATCCTTTATTTCACCCCGGAAATTACTTCCGGTTCTATCCCAGGTCACTCCTGCGTTTCCGCACCGGCGACAATTTATTCCGCAGGCGAACGAGTTTACGACAAGGCTTCCAGGATTAATTATCCCGCGCGTTTGTGCTCTCATCACGGTTCTCTTCGACTTTTCCTTTTCAAGGAGACCCGTTCCCTTTTCCCGGAAAACCAGGACATTTTTCCAGGACTCCGAAATTCAAGGTGGATTTTCGGGAACGAGAAGAAGGTCGCGGGGTGATTCCCGAAATACATTTTCATGCTCCTTGATTTTTTTTCCCTTATCAAGGGGACATTTTTTTTTTTCTTCCATAAACGAGGAATTCTTTCCGAACTCCAAAATTCCGGGTGGATTTCCAGAGATTTAAGAAAAATCCCCAGGGTGGTCCGATATACCAAGTATTGGTTTTTCCTTTTCATGGGGATTTTCCTTCTAAAAGTCAGAAATTTGTCCGTAACTCCGAAATTCCAGCTCGACCTCCAGAAACAATAGGAAAATCTCGGCGCAGTTCTCTTTTTCGGGAAAACTCTTTTCTTGTTTTTGGTTCTAAAAACCCGGGACTTTTCCCTAGACCCCGAAACTCGAGTCGGACATCCGGGAACGAGAGAGAAGTCCTCCCTCGCGGAATGCGATTTTCGGCGTTTCCGCGCGAAAACCCGAGGAGTTAACTTTAAGGGGATTCCGGAGAAAATCTCGAGTGAACGACATCGGCTTCCCAAAAGGACGGGTATTAGAATCCTCCCGAGCCGAAATAAGCCGATCCACGTAGGAAGAGGACGAGCATCGTGGCAACGAACCGGAATAATAAACCACCCTCCTGCGTTTCCCCTAGGATCCACCCCAAACAGGCAATTCGTTCGATCTCGTTAAAACAACCGAATCTCATCGAACGAAAAAACATTGAGATGCGGACAAAGCGTTGACACAAGCAAAGCCTCGATCTGTCCACCTTGGAGGGTTGAAAAGTCCGGAAATTTAATTAAATTTCATCCCATAAGTTTCCTTCGCTCCTCCGACATAAGGGCATTTTTTATTTCACCCCCTCCGATGGGTTTGTAAGTCTCGAAATTGTAATAGAAACACCCGCGTTAGGAAAAATCGTTTCGATCCCCCACATTTAAGGTGAAGTGAAACACGTCGAGGAACTTGATCGACGTCGATAAAGAAGATTTTTCTAAATGCCTACGTTGCCGACGTTCGTTTTTATATTGACAGCTGGGTCGAATTATATTGGGTATTGTACCAAATGGCATATTCCACCTGTCGTTTTCGTACAATAATTATAAAGAAATCGAAGTAAAACTCCAGAAATCCTCTGGATTCATGCCTTCTGGGGCCCTAATTGACTGCGGAGGGACCCCCTGCGCCATCTGTGATTTCCAGGTCAATTAAATTTTCCCTCCGAGACCTCGTATTACCATCGTTTTAGCAAAGAAGCGCATACAACACTTTTTTTGCCTTTATCCCGTTCAAATGCGAGTTTATCGATTACCAGAGTGTTCTAAATTCTCGTAAAATTGTCCTGACCCTTTCGATTCTCATATCAGAGCCTTCGATAATTGTATACTGATCGAAATATCAGAGCTCGACGCCATTTTGGTTCTGGTCTGGACTGAGTTAAAAAATTTTTTGGAAAAATCCAAATTTTCAATGTGTCAGGACAATTCTTGGATGATCAGGAGTGATGTGTCAAAGTTTCGGACAGTTTGGTCTAATACCCTTAAAAAAAAGTGTTGTATTCGAATCGACTGATTTGAAGGATGTTTCACTTCACCTTAACTTTTGTGACAAGTTGCCCAAAAAGGCAAAAATTCTCTGAACCTTCGATAACAACTGTTTTAATAAAAAAATGTTTTGATGAAATAAGGACGGCGATATTTAAGCTCGAAACGTCGAAGAAGCTCCAGGGGGTGGTTTCGCCACCCACAAGGGCGCGGACGTGCGATTATCGAGATTGCAACCCCACGTCCGAAAGGGAGGTCTGAAAGGAGGCTCCGATCTCGCATCGGGGATGAAAGGAAGTGTTCGCCGTGACGGAAGTCGGAAATAGGGGTGTCGGGGCGATCCTTGAAATCTTCTCCATGGGCCGGGGCGCGGCTCTCGAGGGTCGGCGAGGAGTCGCGAAAAAGCGTCGAAAGGTCGCGAAAAACCGGGTAAAAGTGGGAAAGAAAAAAAAGAGAGAAAAAAAAGGAGAAAAGTGGCGAAATGGCGCGCCCTTAATCGCGACTCGCGGCTGTGCATAAGCTCTCTTAAACGCTGACTCGGCGCATAAATCTGGGGATGAAACTTCAAGGGTCCTGCTCGAGGGGTAAAAAAGACGCCAGCGGAGGTGGCCCAGGAACAGGATTAAATTCGCGCGCACTCCGTAATTTGCGCGCCCCGTCTCGGATTAAAATGCAAATCTAAATCTTAAACCCCCTAGATAAGGCTCGCAGTTAGTATACGGTTATGGCTGCTGAGAGAGCGTTTCTTTTGCCGGGGAAAACTCCCGGGTTACCGAGACTACGTCTCAGCGGTTTTCTCCGGAAGTTTGCGAAACCTCGACGGGGCGGGGGGGCGTCGCGAGTTTGCGGACTCTTGCTTTGGGGGCGAACTGCCCCGAAAATGAGGGCGAAATTCACCGCCGTTTGCGAAACGCCGGATTCGGTTAAGCCTGATACCGGATTTGCAGATTTGCGAAGCAGGATAATGTTGGAAAGAAATTTTCTGATTTTTTTATCAGGAATTATTTGCGTTGTAGGATAACGTTGGAAAAGGAATTTTGTGATTTTTTATCAGGGATTATTTGCGAAGTAGGATAACGTTGGAAAGAAATTTTCTGATTTTTTTATCAGGAATTATTTGCGTTGTAGGATAACGTTGGAAAAGGAATTTTGTGATTTTTTATCAGGGATTATTTGCGAAGTAGGATAACGTTGGAAAGAAATTTTGTGATTTTTTATCAGGAATTATTTGCGAAGTAGGATAACGTTGTAAAGAAATTTCGTGATTTTTTATCAGGAATTATTTCTCGCCCGAAAATGAAGCCCGAATAAAATCGATAAAAAAAAACTGGTGCATTTAGGAAATCTAGGACTTCAATAAAGATTAATATTAAGTAACATTAATGTCGTACTCACTGGGTCTCCAAATTGACGATCTTGTACTGCGCCAGGTAAGTGTGTCGATAGAGCTGCAACAAAAAGTGGAAAAATTTCACTTTCCAAATTTCCACGAATATATCCCGAATGTTTGGAAAATTCTCAGCTAGATAAATATACTAGCGAAATATGTCACGGAATATTCTATCCCGTGAAAGGAAACTGTTCCCAAGTCCGTTAAATTAATCAGAGCGTCGATTTGTATCCCGGTGAATTTTCCCCAGTTTTTCCGACGAGGAGAAGTTTCAGGATCGAGCCGAGATCGATGGTCTCTCCTTCCTCTCCTCTGGGAACTTCCTAAGTAAATTATGATCCCGCCATGAGACAGCGGACACTATCGCGGGCCATCAATAATGTTCATTGATACCAAAGTGCCCCGTGCTATTTTGCCTCCATTAACTCTTCCATTCAACTACCATAAATCACGTTATTATGATAGGATCGGAATAACGCCATTTTCGCGCACTGCCCTCCTCCCTAGGGCTCGAGTTAGTTCCCGCTCTCCTTCTCCCTAAAATCATTACAAAAGTCCCCAGAAAAATTAATCTCCATGCATAAAAGTACACTCCTCGAAGTGTACTTAGCCTTTCATGTGAGAAAATGAGGCGGGGGCAGTTAATTTCAGTATAGAGAACAGGATTAGGATCAGGAACCTATCCTCAAGAGTCTGAAAGAAAACTACATTTCCCGAATTAAGAAAAAAAATAAATAAATAAAAAAAAGAAAAAGTGACTCCTACTCTCCATTACTTTTACAAGGAAGGTACCTGAGGTGTCCCCCTCCGATTTTGTTCACTTTTAAATATGTTATAGAGGACTAAAATCTAAGGGACTCGTGTTTTTTTTTTTATAGGCGGATAAACACTTTTAGGGGGTGAAATCAGGCTTCAAAGTTGGTCCTGATATAGAAGCACTCGTCCAATTTTCATGAAATAACCGTCAAAATGTAGGGAATGAAGAATTATGAAACATGCATCTGGAATTTTTCAAAAAAATTCATTTTTAAGGGGTGAGCCACCCCTTCGAATACTTCTTTTACCCCTTACGCGCTCAATAATTTTTCTATCCAAATGAAACTTTTTTTGTATTGTTCTGGTTTATAAATTAACCAAGTTTCATTTGGATAGAGCAATTACTGCTCGCGTAAGGGGTATAAGAAATATTCAAAGGGGTGGCTCACCCCTTAAAAATGAATTTTTTCGAAAAATTCCAAATGCATAATTCATAATTTTTCATTCCCTACATTTTGACGGTTGTTTAATGAAAATCGGACGAGTGCTTCTATATGAAACAGCCAACTCACCCCCTTGCACGGCCAACCTTGAAGCCTGATTTCACCCCCTAAAAGTGTTTACCCGCCGATAAAAAAAAAACACGGGTCCCTTGGATTTTAGTCCTCTATAACATATTTAACAATGAACAAAATCGGAGGGGGACACCTCAGGTACCTTCCATGTTAGCATCAATGTCCAAAAATGAAGCCCTCTCATGAAAACTCCATTTTGGAGCGACCTCGCGGTTGCACTTTTCTAAACGCTCGAGCCTCAAAGAGAGATGCACTTTTCCCGAGGCTTTATCCCCGAGCACGGAGTATTACCTATTAGCGTACTTATGGAATACCTCGTATTAAAAAAGCACCGAGGTATTAGTGCAAAGGATGCGCGAATCCCGGCTTTATTCCCCGGAGGCTTCATTCCGGGTCCTGATGAATGTTTCACCCTTTCGGTGCATCCCCTTTCGAGCCAATTTACGCGTACATAGGGCCGGCCTGTGTACGTTGGGGCACCTAAAGCTTCATGTTTCATCTTTTCTGCCCAGGTTTCGTACACGCGGTGCAAACGGGGCTTGATTTATGCACGTCGTCTTTCGGCGAGGAAACGCAGACATTTCGGGAGTGGACGTTGCGGGCAGAAAGGGCGAGATTAATCGAACTCTCGTCTCCCATGGAGCACCATTTCCCTCAAATTGGTAGAAAAAGGGTTCCACATTTCAGATGCATCGCACCTTCAAACACACGGACAATAAATACAAAATAATAACACGAGAAGAAATTAAAATTGAATTTTTTTCCCCACTAACATGTAGTGTCAGTGTCCTGTGCGATCCAGTGAAGTTAATAGAATAAAAAAAGATGAAAGCGTTAACTACACGAATAGTTTTGTCGCCAATAAGGCAATAAAGATTAAGAATTAGACTAAATAGAAGTTAGACTGAAATGTAATGTTTGTATGATTGTGGTGTGAAGTGAGAAGTATTTAGATTAAATGACAGCTCGGTAGGCGATACTGTTTATGCGTGGTTGAGAGTTCGTGAAGTGCGAGCGGCCGTGTGACTCAGTGAGTGAGAATTTAGGCGCATAAAGAACTGTATTGATGAGTGTGGGAATGAGAGAGTGAGGAATGTGGATTGAGTGTGAAAGAAATTAGAGTGAGGCTGGATGAGAATGATCGAATGAGAGTTCTAACTGAGGAGAGCTCGAGCGAAGTTGGAGGGAAAGTCAAGTCCCTTTTTTTTAAGATCTTGAAGACGTACTCTTCAATGTATTCGATTTCTTTATATTAATCTTTTTTATTAATAAACCAACCGTTCATGTTAATCCTGACACTTGAATTTTGATCCTACATAACATTCCCCTAAAATTGGTCAGGAAGGAGTTCGGAAATTTTTCATACTTCGGTTTTTTAAACACATGCATAATGCCTGCGTCTGAAAATTTATTGCAATAATTCCTGGCGCACAATGGGTTGGCAGGAATTTTTTTTCAATGCAAAATGGATAACAAATTGAATCATTCGGAAGGGTTTTTTAAACACATGCATAATGCCTGCGTCTGAAAATTTATTGCAATAATTCCTGGCGCACAATGGGTTGGCAGGAATTTTTTTTCAATGCAAAATGGATAACAAATTAAATCACTCGGAAGGGTTTCGGGAGGGGAAGCTTCGCGTTCTGATGCATGTAAGTCTGGGAATAAATATTATATTTATATATGGGAAATGGTATATCAGGCGGTGTTTCTGCCAGAGATTGAATCCTCCCTCCCCTGGAGCACTTCCATCCGATAACATTTACTGATAGGGATACAGAGGGAGGAAGAGAAACAGAAGTAGGTAGTCAAATCGTAGCTAAGCAAAGCGGCGGAGAGAAGGGCGGGAAGACTTGAGATATGTGCAAGTATCGATTTCAAGTACATATGTATGTACACCTATGTGTCCTATGGATAAGGCTCGAGGAGCCCACTATCGCGATATCGGTAACCCTCGTTGCTCTCTTCCTCGTGTCCTGCTTTTGCGAAACACCCCCGACAGGGCATTGCAACTGCCTTCTGCGACGCACTTTCCTTCTGTAAATATTCACAGGTGACGGCTGTACATCCGAAGATAAACGGGAAAACTGAATAAAACATTACCTGAGAGCGAACGACGAACATGGACGGTCGAGGCGTCTCTCGAAAGTATTTCTTTTCCACTTCTTTTCGAAAGGGCGACATTCTCATTTTTCGTTTACCGTTTGGGAGGAAACGTTCGAGGGGAGTAAAAAAAAAATAATGCGCCGGTAATTAATAAAACATGATTTAAGAGCGAATTACAATCTTCGGTGGACTATGCGACTCTTCGCGCTCAACGAGGAAAATATTTTCCACTTCTTTTCCCGAGGGTAATATTCTAACGATTGTCCACAATTTATATAAAAGGAGATTAGAAAAAGAGATTAAAAAAATATCTGCAAAGTCCGAAACCCATGAAACCAATAAAACATTGCCAATCCAAGCGACAAACATTGACGGTCGACGCGTCACGTCCTCCCTGCAAATGAAAAATATTTTTCCGACCCTCCAATAATTCATTGCTTCCTGTTTTTCGCCTACTTAACCAGAAGGTAGAACCTTAAAGGGGTAAAAAACAAAGGCACCGGGATTCTGAGCCGTGGGAAGAATATTTTTGGAAAATATTCACCCGAGAGCGCAAAAGGCCCCCGACAATTTCGCGGTCTCTCTCCAATTTCCCCGGTAATTTTCGCGCTTGTAGAACAAGCCGCGTCCAGGGTGGACGTGCCAGGGGCCATTTAACGAGACATTGAAAATAGAGCCGTCGTATCGAATTAATTCGGCCGTCGGTCGCTCTCTCGTTCTATTTTTTTATCTCCGAAACGCTGCGTTCGCATTTCGGTTTCGCTCTGCTATTCTTTGGCAAGGTGTTTACTCGCGCGGGTGGATTATTAAAACGTCCGTCGAGTTACAGGTAAACCCGAAATTCCGAGCGTTTTCCGTTTTATTTACCTGCACTCGCAGCTGCCGGAGCTTTTCCGACCGGAGCTTGCGAATCGTCCCGGATCGGCCCTCGAACTATCGAAAAAACCATCGATTTCGACCGGGCGACGTTTCACCCCCTTTGCCCCGCCGCACTTTATTCTCGCTTTTTAGTCCGCCCTCCGTTTCCGGATCCGGCCTGTTAAACGGCGGATTATTGCGCCGGTCGTTAAAATTAATAACCTCGGTTAACGGGGCCCACCCTTCTTCTGGACACTTGGAGAGGCCCCTCGTGATATCGATAAAGCGATATTTTTTCGACTTCCCTCCCTAGAAAAAAAAAATCCCCCTTTCGAGGAATTAAAAAAGAAATTCAAAATGTACCACCTTCGCGCAATTTTCATGATTTCTTTATGTCGTTAGAATTAATAACCTCGGTTAACGTGGCCCACCCTTCCTCTGGACACTTGGAGAGGCCCCTCGTGATATCGATAAAGCGATATTTTTTCGACTTCCCTCCCTAGAAAAGAAAAATCCCCCTTTCGAGCAAATAAAAAAGAAATTCAAAATGCACCACCTTCGCGGAATTTTCATGATTTCTTTAAGTCGTTAGAATTAATAACCTCGGTTAACGGGGCCCACCCTTCCTCTGGACACTTGGAGAGGCCCCTCGTGATACCGATAAAGCGATATTTTTTCGACCTCCCTCCCTAGAAAAAAAAAATCCCTCTTTCGAGCAATTTCGCCCAATCTTGCCTGTCCATTAAAAAAGAAATTCAAAATG